CTCTCTCTCTCTCTCTCACACACACACACACTCTCTCTCTCACACACACACACACTCTCTCACACTCACTCACTCACTCACTCACTCTCTCTCTCTAGTACAGACTAATGTGGGCTAATATAATGAATGAATGTATGGCCTTAAATGCTTCAGTCATCTACTATATAGTGCACTGGTTCTCAGCTCTGGTTCTGGGCCCACTGCTCTTTTATCTGACGTGCCGCTCTTCTGAATCAGGTGTGTTAAATAAGGAAGACAGAGCGGTGGGACTCCAGGCCCGGAGCTCAGAACCACTGATATAGTGTGAAAGTAGTGTATTCTGACACAGACAAACTCTGAAATGGATGGTGCGATGAGGGAGACATCCAAAATGAGTTCCTTTCATCACGCTCTACACTTATATGGCTCCCTCATGCTGCTGACTCTCATATTATTATGGTTCAATGTTGCCATAATTACCATTTATGTACTTATGTATCTTATATAATATTATTCAAAATACATTTGCACTTAACAATAAATATGGTTCCAATTATTATCTTGATAAAATGTTAGGTAAATATTAATTTTTGTAAGGGAAAATGTAGTGCTGCGGCATTTACTGAAAGAAAACTCGAAATGCCTGCCAGCGGATTATGTGACACGTTTGTGCTTTTTCAGTGGATAGAGCCCATTTAGTAAAACTCTTAAACTGTGAGTGTTCTCCTGAAATACATTAATTTTTATTCTAATATAATACTATGAACTCTTTATGATTCAGTTATTCTTTGCCTGTGTTTAATTACGGAAAGAAAACTGACTCACAAAACTTCACCTCCACATACTGACCAGCATGTAACTTACATTTGTGTCTCGTTGTAATAAAAAACAATGTTAAAAAAGCACAATGTTAACTAATATCTTGTCAATAGCATGATTTAACTATTTTATTATCTTCATGATGCAACTTTTTTAATCTAATCTTGACCTTGAGCAGATTAAGAGTGATGAAAGGTGAAGTGGAGTGTTTTTCTCTCTGGTGAGCGTCGAGGAAGAGAGTCTCACTGTACGCTGCTGCACGGTGGAAATATGCTGCTATCACTGGACATGCCCATCACATTCTGCTGCCATATGTGCTTTGAGGAGAACGGCCAACAAAACGATGACAGTTTGTGTGTGAGAGACTCGGAGAGAGAGAGAGAGCTACACTGAACACTTGATTATTTTTAATTATTACTTTTGCAAGCATTAGATGATACTAACCCAATAAATAACTTGCTTAAACTGCTGTTAATGCTATTCCGATGTGAACTTGCCAAGAAAGGTAAAGAATGAAGTTTTTACATGAAGATTTACATGGATCTACATCATCGTGTAGTCTCAAACCTGATGATGTAGAAATTATTTCATGTGAGAATAATCTGGAGTGATACGAGACGGGAACTAGGAATTCACTGAGACCCCGGCCGATTAAACAGCTCACTGTCATTGCACTTAATTATGTGAGCATTGAATGCCACCACTGACCAATCACAACCATGAAATAATACAAAATAATGAATGAGACAGATCTATTCTGCACGTACCTGATCTTGATATGCGAAGAACAGAACCATGAACAGAATCTCCAACAATAATATCAGGAGCAGCAGAATGAAGAACTGTAGAAACACAAGCAGAAGAGACTCCGAGTCAGAGAGATTATTAGATTATTATTATTCTGCAGGCCTTCAGAACTTCCTGTTTCCTGTTGTTATAAAAGCCATTGAAAACCTGACACATACCATACAGGAGACAGAACCCAATGAGACACGACACATAAAGAGGGGCAGCACGTGGCACAATCACATGAGGGAACAGGGAATGAAAATAGAAGACATGAAACATGAACATAAACCAAAACCAGCCGTGACACCTATATAGTGCACTGTATTAGCTGCCAGACAGTTTGTAGTATTGATCAAATTCTTATTAATCATTTCCATTCCTCTTTCATTCAGTGGATAATAGTGTACAATACGGGTGTGAGATATTGACAAGAATGATACGTCAATATTTTCTGGCATTTGGCCATCGACGGTAATCAGGATTTGTGCTGGTCTCTTGGCTGGTTCAGGCCGGTTGCTGACAGCTGTAAATGCAAGCTGCATTTGAGCTTTATAAGAACATTTTCTAACCTGATGCACCATTTCATGTTAAATTATTTTATTTTATCAATAAATAGGTAGGGTTATGAAACACTGTAGCGCTGTTTTCAATCAGTGAAATCAGTATAACAAAAAACAAAACAAACATCTTTGCACTGCAGAAGTGGACAGAAGCTGCATCTGAAGTGGCTTTTTGGTGAATTTACACAGATTAATATGCTTAATATGGCTCAATCCTGGCAAAAATGCATTTACACTGCAATTGCATATATAATGCTATTTTTTTATGTAAAATGAAGTGCAAAATTAATATGTTTTTATTAAAAATATTTAAAAGTGAAATTATGCATTAAAAATGCAACTAAAACTGCCAGTAGGTGGCAGCAAGTAACGGCCTTAATGAGTGAGTCATTCGTTCAAAGAGCTGATTCATTCTGAAACTAAGCATGTGACCGTCTTTATGAATCTTTATGAATGAGTCATTGTGTTATTCACTCAACTGAGTCAAAACTATTCAAAAATGCAAATTCATTCAGAAACAAAATGCCGCACAACTGTTCTGTTCTGGGTTTACTTGGAACTATTTTCATCGCGAAACAAAGCAAAAATTGACAAAATGTGTCTTAATACGTAACACTGAATATTAATTTCTTATTTATCGAACTGTTGTATAACATCAATGCCATATTTGCAGTTGTACTGATGAAGTCTGCTGATAAAGCTCTCTAGATGTGTGTGGTTTTTTTTGTTTGTTTGTTTTTTTGTAAAGCGAGTGACACTCATAATCTCAGCTTGCACACTGTTAAAACAATAATTACAATATTATCATAGACAATACTGTACATATCACACACCTAGTGAATAATTATGTCCTCAAAGACACTTTATTGGCCATGACACATTGTGAAGAAAGCTGCTGAGCTTAATTTGCAGCTCCTTTATTCTTGCAGTCTTTATTTCATGCTGGTTCAACTCTTTCACTTCTTTAACATTGTCAGTCGATTTAAAAAGCCCAAATTATACTGACACTTGATGGTATCTTTCTTGACTAACTAATAATAGCCTACTGTAATTACTCAGAAGATTGTATTTGGTGGATGACTTAAATCCATATAATTAATGAATAAAAAAAACTTACATAAGCTATTCACCTCAAATTATGTGTTCACGGCTGTTTATCGTCTGTGTAGAAAAATGGGCCACTTTAGATGGGACTGTGCTTTATAGGAAATCTACTAAAAGTAAATAAATACAGTCATGTTGTCACAATATCAGTTAGTTTGGACGTTCAGTTTGCACTGATCTCTGTTGTGTTGTTTGTCATGGTTGTTGATTTGATTTATTCATTCGTTCAGTTCAGGTGTGTGTTGTTAATTATCCTTGTTTGCTCATGTATTTCAGTTGCTCTGATTCTCTGTTCATTGTGGTCAGGTCTTGTGGATGTTGCATGTGCTGTTGCTGTTCTCTATATGCAAATTATTTACCTGTGGATTTATTAAAGACTACCTTCTGCCTTCATCTTTGTGTGTTCTACAACACAGATCCGTGAAACATGTATGCTTATTTGTGTGATTTTAATTATCTTCATATTTTTAATCATTATGAACAAACAGAGCATATTAGACAAACACATCATGACTATATAGGGAGTAGTGCATGAGTGAACGAGTGGGTGATTTGGGACGCAGCATATGTGACTCACTGTGAGGCTGTTTAAATGACTAATTGCTCGTCAACCCAACCTTAATTTCTCTAGTCATTGATCTTGTGCCTCAGAAACTCACTAGAGCATTCAACTATATCAAGCGGTTAACTGAGAAGATCATATTCATTCACACATAAAGACTCTCACAGTCGCATTAGAAATCATCGTAGAATTTGGATCCTCATCTTGATCCAAAACTATGTGAAATGTAAGATTTCAGTATGAGCTCGGGTTCAACAAATGCTGCTGAACACAAAACAACAGACACTAATGCCACAATCTCTGGAAAGAGGTTTGTAACAGTGATGTGTGTGTTTCACGCGGTTGAATGATGAGTCCAGTGGCAGTGATAGCTTTCCCTGGAGAAACAGCCTTGAAGACGTAGTGCTGGGAAATGCTTCATTCCTGGAGCACAGAGAACTACTTGTAAGAAGCACCTGAGAAACAACTTGTAATTTGGAAGAAGCAGATGGTAAAGACTTTACATCTTTTTCTGTTTCGGAGACCACGTGGTTTCCTAACTAATTCCTTTTCTGTTAGCTGAACACCGATCGTTCTTTGGCTCTTTCTGATCAATCATAAGTGTTTGGCGGTTGTTGCAGATGACCACAGGATGTCCAGTCTGGTGTCTAAAGGTTGTTCTCCATTATTTTACATCACGTGGAGATTTTCTGCTGGTCACAGCTGCGGTTGGTTTGCACCTTGCCACAATTCTGTCTCTGAGCTCTTCAGGCCGTTCCTTTGACCTCATGATTCTCATTTTCTCTGACATGCACTGTGAGCTGTAAGGTCTTATATAGATAGGTGTGTGGCTTTCCTAATCAAGTTCAATCAGTATAATCAAACACAGCTGGACTCAAATTAAGGTGTAGAACCATCTCAAGGATGCTCAGAAGAAATGGACAGCACCTGAGTTAAATATTTGAGTGTCACAGCAAAGGGTCTGAATACTTAGGACCATGTGATATTTCAGTTTTTCTTTTTTAATAAATCTGCAAAAATGTCAACAATTCTGTGTTTTTCTGTCAATATGGGGTGCTGTGTGTACATTAATGAGGAAAAAAAATAACTTAAATGATTTTAGCAAATGGCTGCAATATAACAAAGAGTGAAAAATTTAAGGGGGTCTGAATACTTTCCGTACCCACTGTATATCGTACTGTTTGTGTTATGTATTGCTGTAAAACAGTGTGTTGTGAGAAAATAAAATTGACTTGGCAAATATTGGCTTTAATTTGATAAAATTCATATAATTAATCCTAATTTAAAATCTGGGCTAACATCTGGTGCAGAGATTATCCGTAAAAGCCTTCTTTACATATGTGTGTTTATCTGCACATCTTAATAAATTATCTCCACTATAGCTACAAAGTACACCACAATTTGTTAGATCAAGCAAATTCACAGCCCTTATTTAGGATCTTAGTTGATCAGCTGTCTATGTATAACATGAACGGCTGTGCATGAGAGAGTTCATAGAAGAGTGTATGGATATGTTCTCCTGCCGATCTGTGTTTTTGTGCAGTTAAGCAGTCTCCACGTAGACATTTATGTAAAAAAAAAAAAAAACATCCAAGTTTCACTGTTATCAGCTAATGAAATGTAAAGCCATGAAGAGAAAAAATATTCAATCAAATTCCAAAATGTATTTTCTGGTAGGTCTTGTTGAACTCTTCCTGGTCTCAGATGTGTTTGTGTAACTGGGCATCATCACTCATCATAACGCTGCTGTAATCACACCGCTCTGCCCACACCGGGTTAAAGACACACAGGAGAGCACAGGCCGTCATTAAAATCAGTCCCTGACATAAATAGCAGCTTAAGGAGTAAACATTATCATCCCCCATGTGGACATGAGAATATTTGATCATGAATCATCTTCAGGCTATGATAGTCTCTGGGGTGATTCCAGCTCAGCAGTATTATATATTCATAGACTGCGCTGATATGTGCTGCTCCGTTCCAGCGGTGTTGAACCCGAAACACTGAGCAGAGGAACGGCTGGGAACGGATTCTTCCTTTAGCTTATTTTATCCAATTCACTGGTGAAAAGAAAGTTGGGGATTCTTGGCTTTTAAGTGATCTTAAGACATACATCAACTTTTATGCATGGTTTTTCTTTATAAAAATATCAAAATGCATAATTTATTTTCACATTCACTATAGGAATAAATAGATAACTTTAGAAAAATAAGGCAGTCTGCAGTTATCTGTATCATTTGTGTATGGCTCCTCATTTTAAATAATAAATAGGGACAACGGTGTTTCAGTCCTCGGGCACCGAAGGAATAAAGCTGACCTGACCTGAGCCCTGCAGTTTGCTGAAGGACTAATGTTAACTAATATTAATTAATTAATTGTGGGATATGTAGGTAGAGTTTCTTTCAGACACATAAAAATTCAGGGAATTCAAAGATGAAAATCCACAAACAACATCCACAAAGAGTGACTGGCTGTGTTCAGTATCGTTTACTGTAGTGTTCGTACTAATTCAGCACTATATGGTGTGCAATTCATTTTTTGTTCCCTTTCCAAACCGAGGAATGGATGTGTTATCAGCTGTGAGCTCCGTTTGACTCATTATTTGATAGGACTGGCAAAGACATTTTTACTGGATTAAAAAAGCAAAGTTTTTGTATTTCTTTTGAGAAGATAACTGAATGGAATTGACTGAATTAAACATAAAGTGTGACATGAATCACGGATCAGAGAAGCTCTGGAGCTGCGGTCGATCGTTCATGACATCGCATGATCAGACCAACGGACTATAGATGTATGCAGATTGTGTTTATCCTTGAGAAAGCCTGCTTTGCCCATCAGACTTTTTAGTGTACTTTAACTCAAATAAACCAATCCAGGGCAGCCCCTAGGCCGATATCTGCATCTGTCACGGGACGCTCCCACACAGAATGTAGGTCTCTCTGTCCTCCAGAACCATCCACGGTCTCTGATTGCAGTTTAAAAGATACAGAAGTCAGTACGAGAGTCAGAGAATAACCATTTGAATATCACAACGCAAAACTATTTGATGGCTTCTCTCTATGGAACCAATTAAACCAGGGCTTTTCGAAGTGTTCCTGGATCCTCCTCAGTGCTACACCACTAATCTGACCAGGAACGTTTTGAACCATCATTCAGTAAGTATTAGTATTGTAGCTAAGTACATTAACATGTTTTGACAGGTTGCAAAATAAATAAATAAATAAAAATAATGTAATTAATGCAGCATGTTTCAGCATGTGCAGCTGAAGTATCTCTGCTAACGTCTTTTCCTTCATTCTTTTGATGCGTTCAAGTTCTGCTGGAAGTTCATTTGTGAGTTGATCATGATTACGGCATAGGATGTGTTTAAATCACTTCGGTCTGAGTTGAGCTGTGTGTCATCTGAATGTTTTAGATCCAGTCTCCGGTCAGTTTTGTGTTCTGCGCGACTCAAATGCTCCGCTCTCCACACAAATATAAAAGCTGCTGTCGGTTAATGAAGATCTGACGGATGAACTTGCGGCTCAGTTGGACTCTTGTCGTGTCAGAAAGCGATAAGTCTTTCAGTTTTATGGACGTCGCCATCTTTGATATTTCTTTGGTCACTGTCGCTATGGTAACTGGTAAGGAATACGTCTTGACTCCCGTTGCACGTTCATACAGACAGAGACAGTATTCGAGACGCTACTGTAAGCTGCTGTGTGAACGTGACATTTCGAGACGCACAGTAAATGCGGTTGTCAGTCTCAAACACTGACCGTGTGAATGTAGCCATAGACAGACAGATGTGTTCATGTTAACCTGTTCCTCGTGGAGTGGAAATTATGCTAATAAACTTTCCTGTATTTTACCTGCGGATGCTAATTTGAATTCCTGCTAGTGTCTCTATTACGGCAGCCATCAAACTCTACTCAACGTCAGTGTTGCCACTCAAGTGCCACATCTTATTCCTTTAACAATGAGCAGAAAGTCACATTGTGATTCTAATGAATACCATCAAACAAGCACATCACTTCAAGATGAAACGCTATTTCTTATGCTTCTGATTCGTACAATGTGTAGTTTCAAAATGGCATCCAGTGAGGTTTTTATTATTATCTCACATGTGTACTGTACTGACTCAAACTGGATGTTTAGTTTACTTACGCTCAGGAGCAATGGGCGGTTCTCTTTGACCGCGCCCACACAGCCCAGGCAGCCAATCAGCATGATGATGCTTCCGACAGCGATGAGCAGATTGGCAGCAGAGAGCGACGGTAGAGATGAGGAGAGCGTGGCGAAGTTTCCCTGCGTGATGGAGAGCCAAACTCCCACTCCCAGAATCCCACAGCCGCCCAGCTGAGAGAGAGAACAACACCGAGCTGACGGAAACACTCAAAAACACAAATGCTGTGCATAATAACAGGCTAGTACACACAAACATTTCTTATTATACAATTGGCATACATTCGTTTTAGTGCCACTAATCAAGAACTGTTTTAATGTACCATTTCACATTTCCAATGATTAAATAGGGCATGTTCTGTTCCACACTGAGTGAGAGATGTGCTTATATGTATAAAACATTGCTCAGGCTCATTAAAATGCAGTCTGCCAGTATGGTAGATTTAGAGGCTCTCCAGGGTAAAGTGCTGTAGAATACCGTAGTGTAACGTGTGGTCGTGGGAAAGAGAAGCGGAGGATCCAAATGCAGCAAACGTTTAGTACAACAAAAACACAAAGTACATCCAGGCACAGGGCAAAGAAACAAGGCAAGACAAGGGCACACGAAAACAACACCAGACAAAGAACCATGACAAACACAGGGGTTAAAGGGTTAGTTCACCCAAAAATGAAAATTACCCCATAATTTACTCAACCTCAAGCCATCCTAGGTGTATCTGACTTTCTTCTTTCAGACTGTCAGATACAATCGGAGTTATATTAAAAAATGTCCTGGCTCTTCCGAGCTTTGTAATGGCAGTGAATGGGTGTCGAGATTTTGAAGCAAAATAAAGTGTTCATTCACCATAAAAAGTGCTCCACGCGGCTCCGGGGGTGAATAAAGGCCTTCTTTCCTTCGATTCTGAAGAGAATCGATGCATTTGTGTAAGAAAAATATCCATATTTAAAACTTTATAACCTGTAATCTCTAGCTTCCGCTAACTGTGGTACGCAGATGATGTAGGACGCAGGCGTAGCGTGAGCAGCGTGAGAAGATGCTAGTCTCGCGAGAAGTTTTGTTTACAACGAATAAAAATCAGTCTCCTCTCAGAAATCCTCCGACATTTTTCTTTACAAATCCTCGTTTTGTACTTCTAATTCATGATCGGTGTTTTGTTTTGCTCTCTCCTCTGCACTTCCGCATTCGTCACTTCTCACCGGAGCTTACGCTACAACAACGTCTTACGTCATCCGCTGGAACACCACTCTCTCGTGGACGACAGTTAGCAGAAGCTATTACGGTTTATAACGTTTTAAATATGGACATTTCTCTTACACAGATGCATCGATTCACTTCAGAAGGCCTTTATTAACCCCCGGAGCCATGTGGAGCACTTTTTATGATGGACGCACTTTTTTGGGCTTCAAAATCTCGACACCCGTTCATTGCCATTATAAAGCTTGGAAGAGCCAAGACATTTTAAAATATAACTCAGATTGTATTCGTCTGAAAGAAGAAAGTCATACACATCTAGAATGGCTTGAGGGTGAGTAAATTATGGGGTAATTTTCATTTTTGGAACTATTCCTTTAAATAGACAGGATAACAAGGGGGTGGAGCTAATCAGTCACCAAGACAACTAACAAGGGGGAACCATGGAGACAAACAAGCAGGCAAAGAAACAGGAACTAAACAGCAACAAAGAGAACACAGAAAACATTTCAACATAAAAGTCCTTGAACAAGACAGGGGTAGTAACACAATGTATGTTGTCTTCTTTAAAATCTGCTTTCAAAAGGGTCTGTTTTGAAAAAGCCTCTGTGAAACATTTCAGTCAGATGTCAAATTGATCCTTACTCAAGCATGAGAAAAATCTAATTCTTCTCATATCAAAGAGTTCAAATGGAAATTCAACTCTAAGCTGCCTCATCCAACAGATCAGCTTTGACAGTATGAATGCTGAAGCCACTGGTCAAGTCTTTTTCGTGGCTGTGTGTGTGTTTGTGCAGGAGTGGAAGCGTTAGTACACAATAAACATTAAACACCCTGAAACAGGTGTATTTGCTAAAAAGTTGTAGACTGTGAGGTAGGCAGTTCCCTTTGACTGTAATGAATTCTGATTTGCCAGAGATTATTAAATAACAAATGCAACTGGAAGCCAACAACTGTGCTAAATTCGTTACAGTCACTAGCATAGTAATGAGGAAATCACCTGCTTCAAAAGCACCACTGATCACCGTCATGTCTATGCTGCTGGATCTCAAGCCGAGGCCAAAAGAAACGGCAGCAATAAGATGATTGGGCTTCACCTGTGCTGTAACCTCAATACTGCTGGCTCTGTGAGGAAGTTCTTAATCTGCTTTATTGTAAGTCGCTTAGGATAAAAGCATCTGCTAAATACATGTTAATGTTAATGTGAAGTTCATGCAAGAAATGTCCTACACATATAAAAGCCAAATGTGCTGCTGTAGTGTCAACAGTGTTTGGATGGAAATGAGTCTAAATGAGTCCAAACCTGTGTCTGTCTTTTTCATTAACGTTAAAAGGTATTTGTGTGAGATGCTGGTGAATTAAGCTCTGATCACTGCAGAGTTTCTGAACTCAGATAATCAGACTCTTGATCCTACGCATGAATCTAAGCTCAACTCTACGCATATCCAAACTCAACAGCAGCAAAGCGAATCTCACAAGAATTCTCAAGAACAACATCAGTACACAATTAGCACACTGTATCAAAAGATACATTTTTGAAAATATGTACACAGTAGGCTAGTTAAAGCGCCTCATATAAAGTTTAGACCTTTACAGAATCAGTGAATGTGGATCAATCATTGAGTTGGCGCAGTTTTGTCTGGCACCCATTTATGACCCAGAAAATGACCCTGATCCACCCAACTTCGGTCTCCGGCCCTGACGTGAAAGACTTTCACTCGTGTGCTTTCTGATTACATCATCTTTATAAATGGGTGGCTCATCTGATCAGATTGTATTCTTGGACGTTAGTTTGACTCGCTGTGGGTTTGTGATGTGAGTTTATTCTGCTTTCTCCGAGTCTGAGCACCGCTGTTGCTTCATTCTGTGTTTGTGTTTGTGTTAGTCAGAACCGACATGCAGTGGCACAAACGCTTACATCACTGTCCTTTCATCTGTATCCAGGATTCAATTCACTCAGCAATCACCATTCACAGCATCAGAGAGTCACAGGTCAAATAATGTTACGGTTTGTGAGCACAGTTAGTGATCGAGCCACTAGGATGTGAAATAGTGCTTCATCTTCAATAAATAAATGCACAAATAACATGTCCTGGAAAAAATCATGTATAATAGCATGCTGCCTAATAACCTGATGACTGAAAATCTATTTGAACCATCACTTAACTATTATTGTTCTGAAGACCATGTGAACAAAAGTAAGCAGTTTTCATGTAAACATGTTTGGGCACTAAATAAAACAGAATGCTGTAAATATACAGCAGGGTTATTTCTGGATTTTGACAATACTGTTTTCATAAGTAATTTTATTTCATTATAAATGAAAATGAAAGGTGCTTCATCTCACTTGATTGTTGCATTTTATTTGGAATCTGATCAGCACAAAGCAAAAGATGAGATCAGATGATTCAGAACTAACGAATGACATCAGTGCAAAAACAGCTTCACTTTATTAAACACTAGAGTTCAAAATAAAAGCCTTTCAAAAGTAAAATTAACACCTAAAGCTACATTCTGATCTGATGAGCCACATCTGAAGTCATTTGGTTTGAATTGCTTCATGTTTCTCTCTCACATCTAAAGAATTTAGACCATTCTATAGAAATAAATCTACGGTTGACACATTTCGACTGCGGCTGGTTTATTTGACGTCAGTGATGCTCTAAGAGTCGCAGCAGGGAAGCGTTCGACTCTACAGGCCTGTAGATGATGGAGAAGCTCCTGCTTTGTGATGCAGGTGGTCTGGATCTGTTCCTAGGCGTCGTCTTGTCTCTCCAGCACCCTGCTGCTCACACACCTGTTCTTCTGTTTCTCTCTTCCTCTCTCTCACGTCCTTCATCCCTTCATTCATGCAGTTCACAGAGACTCTGCTTTCTACAGTCTCCTGCCTTGTTAGCGGACAGTGCAGTGCATTGTGTCATCATTAGCGGCCGCTAACTCGTTTATGCAGGTGTGAAACGTGTTTGTCTTGCTGATTTGGGTCAGTGTGTTCCCCGGGGCCGGCGTGCCGCAGATACAGGGACGCAGCTGCATGAGGCACAATGCTGCCTGACTGCAATATTAATACGGAAGCATGCGGTGCTGTTAGCTGAGCGCAACACAGACGCCTAGATCTGATGCTTAGTGCAGACGCACAGGATGAGGCTGTTCTTCTGCATGAGATGGAGAGAGCATCTGTTGTGAGTTAGAGATGCTGGAGGTTGGAGAGATCTACTATTGCACATTCACACTGCTCATCTACAGAGAACAAACATACTTGCATTCTGATCTGATTCTGATACTGATCTGCCATTCTGTAATCTTCCTGTAGTCCATTCAAAATCCATAAACGCATGTGATTTTCATATGACATATATAATATATAATGACATATTTAGTCACACACACACACACACACACACAAACACACACACACACATCTAAACGGCGACACTGTTTATAAAAACAATAGATGTCTATGCAGATAGTTTTACATTTCAGCCTAGCCCTAACAGAAAACATCCAGCATTTTTACCATTTAGTTTAATTATTATTATTTTTTATTTATTGACTTCTATACCAGTTTTACAATTGAGGACATCCCTAAAGGGAGGTTTTGGAAGTTTTTGTCAGGTTTAGCCCACTTTTGAGTATAAATTTGTCCCCAAAATAAGTAGGTGTACTCTCACACACACAGTCAATCAATTGCATGTTTGTCATATTTATTAGCTTGGAGACTCCGCTCACAACTAATTTCAATACTTTAGCTAAGATAAGCAATAATACACGGCAAACTAAATGGGTAAACTAGACCATTTTTCAATAGTTTTTAATTAATGCTTTTCAGTATTGAATGAACTATATTTATATTTGACATTTCTCTCCAGAATCAGAAGGTTTGTTTTACTGAGCTTGTATGGGATTTACTCCTCTACAAAGAATGTATGGGATGCTGCCTTGGAATTTGACCAAAATAAGTCATCTTTAAATACGGCTTATATTT